GCTTTTTCTTGTGCAAACTATGACTCAAAACAAGCAAGCTCAAAAATAGCAAGTCGTTTAAAAATTAAGCTGAAAACCCCCCCAAAGGTATGAAAGGTCTTCCAGAAGAGCAGTGTTGGTGCGCTTGTGCTGACACAGTATAGAACCCTGAGCAGTTTATAGAACACCTTGCTTATACAGACCTGGTTTTGTATTCTCCCACTAACGAAAATGAAAACACCCTTGTCTTTTCTCCATTTCCATTGGCCTCAGTACCTCCTTTTTAATATGTTGCCAAGTAGGTGCCCTCTAGATGTGTAGTAAGGATGGAAAGTGGGTTCTCATGGAGCATGATAGAACACTCTCTACTTCCAGCCAGATGTCTGGGCAGCAGCAGGACATGCTGTACACTCCTTTCACTGTGAAAACATGGCTGGTGGTTTAGACATTACATATAGTTTATAGATAGCGAAGTGTGTGTTTGTAGGGGCTGGTAAGAAAGAAAATGCAAAGAAAAACACATATAGTTTGCCAGAGATGTTTTTATTGGGTGAATCAGTTTCCCAGGCCCTGAGGTTGAATGTTCATTAGCATTTTCACAAAGGTCAGGTAATATTCCTGGCATTACTGATGAGTAGTTATTACGCCCTCCTCACATGGGGCAGGTAGTGTGCCATGCAGTGAGGAATTGCTAACTATTTCTTAGGACCTGGTGACTTTGCTCTCCTCTGTTGGGCTGCTCTGGATAAAAGTGTAGGTTTTATTTATTAAGTAGAATATTTCTTTTGTTTGTGTGGGCTCCAGATGGGAAAACTGTATAATTGAAATGCCTTTTATGGTGAAGAATGGTTACTGTTTAAAGAAAAAACCAAAAAAAATATGATGGCACAAAACCAAACCAAGATACATTATTGATGAATTTGAAACAGTAGCACTTTCCATTGCCTGGGATGTTGTGAGGGGTGGACATGTAAGATTTTCTAGAAAGATGCCATGAAGCAGGAGTGCAGTGTACTGATTTGTAATTGACTTTTTATTTTTCTTGCTGTAACACAGAGGTGAAGAATTTTAGAAGAAACAAGATGCGAAGTAATTTTTATTTTATTTTATTTTATCTTCTCCAGTCATCTCAACTAGAACTCCACCTCCACCTTCACCATTGCCATTTCCAGCACAAGCTATTCTCCCTCCTGCCCCGTCTAGCTACTTCTCTCATCCAACGATCAGATATCCTCCCCACCTGAATCCTCAGGATACTCTGAAGAATTATGTACCTTCTTATGACCCGTCCAGCCCGCAGACTAGCCAGGTACTGTAAAACAATGCGAACCCTCCAAAACAAATCCTATGAGGAATGTGTGTCTTCCAGGGCGTCTAGACTTGTATCTCACTAGTTCCGGTCTCAGAGCAAGCTGGGAGCTGGCATATAAGAGATCCAGCAACTTTTCCCGTTGAATAAAGGGCACAGGTTAGTCACACACACACTCGCTGTTCCTCTGTCAAGTGCAAGCAAAATACTTGTACTGAACCCCCTGACAGCACTAACAGTGCAGATACCAGTCCTGCGCCCCTCCTGCAGTCTGGGTGCCTCTGTGGCCTTGCAGGGCAGCTAGAGACAAAGCAAGGAGTGCACTGATACATGAGTGCACACGTGTGCGCACACAGAGACATACAGGTGTATTTATAGACCAACAATGAAAATAAACTCTCGCAACTTTCCATAGGCATGCCCTGTTTCATAGGCACCTGACATTTCTTTGCACAGATGCAAAGACATTACTGTGGTGAGCACAGCACAAACACACAAAATTGTTTTTTCTTCTTTTTTCAAGGAACACGCAGTAACAGATGAGTTCCTGGCTGCTACACCAATTCAGACTTGTGCCTGATACGGGAAATTAACATGGTTTTCATTAGTGAAGTAATTTGTAAAGGACTGTGTGCAAAACTGCTTTCCATGATAGCATCAGCACATAGCGTTAGCATGTGATCTGCACTACAGGATAAACTGCAGTTGAGGCTTGGTCTGCCAATACTTGGAATATTTCCAGTGTCAGTGTAATGTAATCTTTGCTGCTCAGGCTGTTATTTATTTCTGATGCCTTGTCTGAAAGGCTTCTGTGGAACCCTGTAGCTTGCGCGTTAGCATGTTTTTTGGAAGAGCCTTAGGAATGTAAACTGAGAGACAACGGTCAGGTTTTCCTGCTCCTAAGAGTTAGGTTCCTTTGGTAGGACTGTCTTATCAGAGATGAAGGGGTTGCTGTGACAGCATTTTGGTTTGGGCTTTGTTTTGTTTTGTTTTTCACCAATAATGACAGGCCTTTCAGCATGCATTTCAGGCACAACAGCAATAGAACTTGAGACCAAATCAAACTTTCGCTGTTGAATAACAGATACGGCCCCTCTGGGGCTGTTCAGGTCATTGTGGCTGTTGTCCCCATGGGCTAATGCTCTGGTCCAGCTGCATGACTTTCTACGTCTTTAATAAAAAAAAAAAGGAAACAACCTGAGTCCATAAAATCAAGTTTTACTTTGAAGGCAGAAATCCTAACTATGTGATTTTTGTTGGTTACAATATTAATGCAAATTAAACCAAAAAGTGAAAATGGAATATGTCGGCTTTAGAATACAAATTGCTGTCTGTGCATGGATTAAAAGTCTTTCAGTCCCATATAACACTTTTGCTGAGAATCAGCTGGGAATGTTGCATGCAGGACCTGATTTTAATTTGTGTAAAATTTCCATGAATAACAAAGTCTAATTAAGACATCCATTAAAAGTCCTTAACGTTAATTCAGTGTGGAAAATCTTAAGAGTTCTGTTGGATTTTTTTTTTTAAACTGATGTCTTAATTAGGCACTATTAAGGGAAAAATTATGCAAATTAAAATCAGGACCTTACTGTTATGCATTTCTTTAATTATTCAGTGCTTGTTTTACTTACATTTTGATTTCTTATATATATTAGAAGAGCAGATTAGGTGATATTGTCTCTGGATTGTACAGTGTTCTGCTTTGGATCATTGCTGAAAAAATACAACATCTAAATGAAGTATATGACTTTCTTTCAGTTGACAAATGTGCTGTCTTGTTATTTTAACATTCGGGAGTGTATTCATTGAGCAGGAAAAGTGCTTTCAACTCTTTGCCCAGCAAGGGTCTTACTCTCTTCCCTTATCAATCGTTAGACCTTAAAAGATAAGATTTTACTCTGCTGATTTTTTTCAGAGTGGTAGCAAACTGAAAACACTTCCTGTTCTTGTGTTGTGACACCATAGGGAATAACAGGCCAAACTGGGCTCAATTTACTACTTTCGTCACCTTTCATAACCTTTATATTATGGTAATGTTTTTCATTTCATTTAATGTTTGATTTAGGTCCTGAGAAGAGGGGGCGGGGTTAAGCAACACCAAGTATGGGATTCCAGGCATCTGCATCAGCTATTGTCCTCAATTTATTATCATTAATCGCTATTGTTAGTGGATCTCTTTTAAATTTAATTCTTTGAAGTTCACCTCTGAGACATGCTGTACATTAGAGGAGTTGCATGCCCAGCCAAAATATCTCTAAATAGAACATTTAAAGGATGGCTGTACAAAAAGTATAACAGCAAGAATAATTTTTTGCTTAGGAAAGGAGGCAGCCGTCTGTGAAGTTTCAGTCACAAAAGGGAATTGTTCTGATACAATGGCATGCTTTGAGCCAAACCAGTTTTTCTTTTCTAAATAAAACATGAATTTTTATTCAAACAAATTTAATTATTATAAAATGCAAAATGGCATCTGTAGGAATACCACATCAAATTTAATTATACTTTCCCACCTCAAAACATGCTCATTTGGATTTCAAAAGGAGAACTATGATGATAGTTTTAATTTCAGCTTTAGAAAGGATGGATACCCTGACAGTATTTACCTAAAATGAACTGTTCCTCCCCAACATCTTTCAGTAATACGCTAATTTAGATTGTTACGACAAGCAACTGAGATGCCTTGTACTCCCCACAGCAATTTTGAGATTAATTACATTACTGCTATCCTGATTATAGTGAGACAGTCATGCTATTCAATGGAATACTTTATGTGAAATTAGTTTAAAGATATAGAGCTCCCATAGGTTTCCACGGTGGGAAGCAGTGGGCAATTTTCCTGACATAATGTTAAATAATCCAAATTATGTGTGATGAACAGTCAGGAAGTTCAAACAGGCCTTTTGGCTGCAGTGAAAAATGATTCAACAATGGATGATCCTAAATAACAGAGAGCCGTGGCTGTCAGTTTCATGCATATCTGCTTTTTATCCCCTGCTCAATCTGGAGAATAAACAAATAAATGTACTGAACAGAAATGGACCTTGTTAGATAAAGAGCTGGACCTTGTTAGATAGCGAGCCTCCAACTAGTAGTCTGAAAAGTTCAAAAGGTTTTGAGAACTGCCATACTTTCTGCTAATTGAGTAATTCTGCTGGGCCCTTTTTATTATACTTGTTTCAACACTTTTTTTCTCAGCTAGGCGTGCATGTAACTGGATGAGATTGTGTGTGTGAGTAAGTATTTGTATTATGACTGGGTGCTGGTCTCTCCATAGTTAAACTGATGCTGGCTACGCATTGTAAGTTTCAGCAAAACCTAATCAATTGGTATGTGTCTAATCCACCCACAGTGTTTACCCATCTACAGTGTATTGAGGTTTTCAAAGCTACCACAAATTTTGAACATGTATTTCCTTTTGCAATGATTCCAGATGGGTGAATCTTTTAATCTTGGAAAATATTACCTCCTCTGTGTGTATGTGCACAAATCTGCATACACTTGAAATGTATTAATAATTGAGAGGACATCAATCAATATACAGTACCAAAGTCAGACTTCCAATGAGTCTGAACGAATCACCAAGAACAACAACGCTTGTGTGGCTGAAGTCAAAACCAAAAGCTCCAAACTTAATGCCCCATTGAGTTAAATGAAATAATTTCCTGATTAAGATGTGGTGAATCACAGAAGGGTCAGCAAATGTGATGAAGGAAATGATGGTAAAGCAAACAGTTAAGGTGAATTCTGCTGAAGAACGTCCTGGCATCAGCAAGAATTTTTTTTTTCTGACTGACCCAAGCAAACAGAAGTAGACAATCATGCAAGCCCTTTGAGTTTGGATTATGAAGGACACAGTTTGCAGGTAACCTTCAATCAAATTTTGTGATGCTTTTGATGCAATATGCAGTTTTCAGTGGCATGGTAAAAATTCCTCCGATTTGGGGGAGTTAGTCAGGTATAGGACCCTTTTCCTCTTACAATAAATAGTTTATGCTTGTTAGGTACTACAATCCAAGTGAACTGCTGTCGACATACTGACTAAAATTCCTGGGGCTATTAAAACATACTTTGTTGCATTGTGAGCTAGTTTGCAGCTTTATCTTTTTAATGGTTTTATCTTTGTCTGAAGACAGAAATATCTGAACTGCTTGAGAAGAGCTGCTTCTGGAAGCTGGTGAGGCCACTTATTTTCCTCTCATAATTGATTGGGCTATTAAATTTTTTGTTCAATGAAAGATAGGCACACTCTTCAGCAATGCCAGGCGGATGCTTTGTCATTTTTCAATACAATAACTGTAGTCATTTAGCAATGAGGAGGGAATCTTGTAAGGCTCCTTTCAGGCTGGTCAAAGAGTTTCCTGTTGGAGAAACTGGAAATTCCTGGGGAAATGCTAGCAGAATAAGCTGACACAAGTGATATGTGTGCATTTGGTTTCTTTTGTATAGCTAACACTTTTATTTGTTGACAATTAATAGTTTTCAGCTTCTTGGGTGAGCCTTTCCTTTAAATTTTTAAGAAATTATTGAGGATTAAATACGGCAATGCGCTGGTTTTACTTGTAATTGGGAGGCTGAGATAGAGTATTAGCTTAACTGTGTCTACTGACGAGCATTTAAAGATTTAATTGCAGTTGTAAATGATACTTTGTATTTAGTTTTCTCATTTTTAGTTTATTAAATGCACAGTTATAAGTCTCCAGAGTGCATGAAACACCATTTAATGCAACAGTATCTTTTGAACATTTATCTACAGAGCGGTTTCCTTTCCCATGCTTGTGTAAAATGGACTTACCTCGTTGTTAAGGCAAATATACAAGGAAAGCTGAGTATTTCATTGTGCTCTATGTGTTGACAAATAATTCTGATTTTGTGAGCTCACAGGTGAAATTGTGATTCAGGATCGAGGACTCTTCACCTAGAATGTCTTATGATATCTGTGTCTGAACACATATTGCTGAAGCTCTGCAGTTGCTCTCAGCTTCAGCAGCGTTACATCA